GAGGAATGAACGAGGTTATATTTTATTTTATGTTTACTTTGCCCATCTGTACATTATCAGTCTGAGGATACATTTTCTCCAAAAAGCTCAATATCCTAGCATTTTCAATTTTCTTCATGTCCCAAGATCGCGAAGTTTCGCTCTTTGTACATTTCTTAACTGCAGCCTAGAGGCTTGAATAAAACTGAAAGATGGCGACTGGATTGTTGTACCCATGGAAATTGCTTCTCTGAATTTGTTTTGAAGCTCGAAAGTAGCATCCCTCACACAAACATATCCCTAGTAAAATGGCTGAAGATTGAACAAACCAGTGTAGTTGTAGGTGGACGTCTATACTGGAGACAAACTGAAGCGTTAGAAATAAAGAAACACAATAACAAATACTAAAGTACCGATGCGAAGACTAGTTGATCGATGTTTCATGAAAAATGACAATAAAATTCGAAAGGAATCACGATCAGACGTAAACTAAAATACAGAAAAGAGAAATATATGTCATTCATCTTGTTCAGCCTTTGGACCGGGAAAGGGACAACAAAAAATCACGCTAAACGAGCAACAAAATCCTTTCACAAATTCGTGAATCCAGGCGGCTAGGCTAGTTTTAGAGTCTGCTTTAACACCTGTGAGATACGCACAAGCGTAGGCACAAGAACAAGGTAGTCCACTCTCTGAACTCTCCCTTCTCCGCGCTATAGGGGGATTAAGCAACCCCCATATAGCGTGGGAAAGGGAGAGTGCAGGGAATGGACTAAACCACAAGGATATTCACACTAGCGCGTAGGCATTCGCAATGCGAGTCACGTTTGTGGAGGAATAAGATGGCGAATGATTGAATTCTTGGAATGAGGCTTGTGCCTGTCTCACGCCAATTCGACTTGTGAAATAAGCATAAAATTAGTGAATTAAGTATAAACGCGACCACCAGAAAAAAGGAAATGTTGCTTTTTCTAGTGCTTAGAATTGTGCTTACGCTCTTGCTCATCTCACAAATGTGAACTCGCCAGGCTTAAACGACGAGGTCACGTGACTGAAACGAACGGATCTTGACCACGCGTAGATTGGAATGGTTATAGTCACAACGGCAAAGGCAAAGCTGACAGTTTCCTTTGACGCCCAAAATGAGTGTTTTAGGTCACGTGGCTTCTGACTGAAAAATCAATGTAGGCGTTTACGTTTTAAACCTCTAACACCCAAATTTTCACAAAAAATGCTATTGCTGGGAAAGCTATGTTTTTTTTTTTTTTACCAAAAGATAGATTTCCCGAAGATAAGGTACACAAATGTCAATCTCGTTCCCAGAGTCTTCGTTCCCCTTGACCAGCGGTCAAAAAACGAGAGCTCTGGGAGTAACCATTTCAGGCATGCGCCATAGATGCAGACTGCGCAGTGAAACCGGATAGGCAGAATCACCAGAATTCAATTATTTCAAAATGGTTGCTCCCAGAACTCTCGTTTTCCGACCTCTGGTCAAGTGGAACGAAGACTCTGGGAACGAGATTGCAAAAATGTACGTTTTTTAAATTTGGTGCATGCGCATAAACCAAAATTTTGCCTTTTTTTTTTGTGGGATTGCCTGTCCCAGATTTTCTTCTTGCCCCTTTCCTTTCCTTTTTCTTGGCCCTTTAACTCTCGTTACCTTTTGCATGTCATATTCTTTCTGGCTGCTGTGAAAAGTTGGCTGTCAATTATGGGCAAAGCCTGGAAATGGGACCTTGATCTTTTGTAGGTGTAATTGGACATTTTACCACCATTTCTGCACCAAAACTGATAACGTTTCCAATTTGCAACGTCAGAATATTGATGCCACCGATATCCAAAATCGACTGTTGTGGGGATAGATCTATCCTAGCTCTACTATCTGCTTATTAAGAATATCTGGTGACATTTAAATTAATGACGTCACAAGTGGTACAAAGAGCACGACCATTAATTACGCATATATGAGTAATTAGGGCTCAAAGGGTTAATGCGGTCGTTAGTATCAGTTTATGAACTTTTTTTTTTTAAAAAAAGACAACGCTTTTGAGATTCAAGTACATGTTTCGACAGTAGCTTCTGTCATCGTCAGTTTATTATTTTATCAGTTAACAATAAAGTGAAATCAAATGCCTTGTACACGTATGTCTTTCAGGGTATTGAATATCATTACATTACTTCGTATGATGCAAGTAAAACGAGAAGTGTTAAAAAGTTGCCACGCTATCCTACAGTCAGTAAGGTACAACTGGACGTAAGTCGCGGACTGGACAATGATCAGTCGCTCACAAATTAACGGGTTCTCTGAAGACAAAGTACCCACATGGAGTAGACAAAGAATACTTAAACAATCACAGATCAAATTATAATGCATTTCCCAGGACCAAGTAATTCCCTTCATGTGAGTAAACGACACTCCCAGTAATGAATGTAGCAGAACATTTTGTTCCCAGCACCAAGGCCCATGGTTCCACGACAGCGGCAACTGTAGTATCGAAATCCTTTGTCGACAGCGCTGGATAAGGTGTGCATCTGTGCGTCATTCGATGAACAGGTAACTCCAATAATCTTTACATCCTGCGGAATGGTAGAAAGAATAAAAACGAAGACACCAATGAATTGAAATGCAGAAATAACAAGGGCACTCAATAGTAGCCAATAGTCCAGCTCTTCAAATGTATGTTCGAAGAAGAACCTATGTAATGTCGTCATGGGAAATCGTATGAACTGCTCGTATGCGTCGCGAGTTATAACCACAAGTCTTAAGACGAATGCAATTTGAGAGCTTCCAAAACATTACTAGGGACCATAAATTAAAAATGCTCGAGGAATTGATGCATTTTTGTTTAAACTATTCATACTAAAATTTTGACGCGGCCGTAAAGCCACTCTGCACACGAAAGTTCAGACTAGTTTCCAAAGTTAAGTTCTCTTCATCCCCTTAATTCATGCCATACATTTAATCAAATTTATACTGCGTTCGACCGAATTTTCTTTACGTTCTTCCAAAACATTATGTGCTTCCAAAAAAAACCAAATGACAGCATTGGATTTTCAAAACTGGTGCTTCTCCGAGTATTGTTTCTTCGTCTGAATAGGATGCCACGTAGACTGAAGTTATCCCAAGTTCTCTTCCACTATTTTTAAAGTTTCTAACACCAAATTCGCTAGCATCCAGTTAGACAGGTGACGACAGGCTATGTATCTTGGTTACGCACCCAAACCGAGAATGG